AGTTTATAATGGTATTCTGCAGCAGCTTGAAACACAACAGGGTAATTTCTTTGGCTCTTTGGCACCTTGGATTTAACTCTGTTCATGCTCTCCTGTTGCTGTAGGTGAAATAGCTCTGCTGATGAACCGTCCCCGTGCTGCCACCGTGGTTGCTCGTGGCCTCTTGAAATGTGTAAAGCTCGATCGACCCCGGTTTGAGCGTGTCTTGGGGCCCTGCTCGGATATTCTCAAGCGCAACATCCAGCAGTACAACAGTTTTGTATCACTGTCTGTCTGAAACCTTCCTCCCTACCCAAAACATGCTTCACGAATGCAGACTGCTTTATTACCCTTGTGCAGAGCCACATTGCCACTGGCATTTGCAGCTTCCTGTCTGTTTAAAAAAGAGAAAAACAACAAAAAAAAATGCTTATCATGGCACTATTTTTAATTTGGAGCATATTGGTTCTGTGCTCTCTGTCCCATTAAGTGAATAGAACACAAGTTTTATGAAGATGTTTGCTCTTACGGCTTCTCTCTGTGCAACAGTGTCCAACTCGGGCTAATGCAGCCTTGCTTCAGCAGGGGAGAGCCCTCCTGGCACTGTGCTCATTGCCTTAGAGTAAGGAGGTGACAGCGGGGGGGGGGGGGGGAAGTACTTTTAAAGGAGTTTCTCAAACTGTTGGACAGATTTTAAGGCTGTGTTCATCATCTGCTGTATTTGTTTCCAAATGAGAACTGCCCTTGTAATTGAGCTTCTTGGGGCTTGGGGGTTTCTTCTTTTTTTAACTCTCTGGGTACTGTAATCCTGGGTTCAGTCGTGAGGCATCAGCTGCTGAGAAAGCCACAGCTGGAATTTAACAGTATAATTGTTCCTGTGTCTGCTGGGTTAAGGTTGCTTAGTTATGTTCCTGTCAAGTGTAAAGCAAAGCTTCCAAGGTTACTAGTTCTGGTGAACTGCTGCAGTTGTTTCTTCATTTGCTGACTTGCCGCAACTGATTTTCTTTCTTCAGCCATTTACGACTCTTCCTGTTCAAAGTGGCAAGAACCAAATGTGACATTAAACGTCTGACTTTGGTCTGTAGTACATAGGTTGGTGTAAGAATGGTGCAGCTGTCCAGCTGTGAGTAATGTCCTAGTACTTAGGTTGGTGTAGGAATTGGAAGCAAACGTTTTATTTCCCCAGTGACTTTTGCTTGCTTTGTGTATTCCTCAGTTGACTTTTTTAAACATCATCGGTTCAGGTGAACCCTTTGTTACCAGGGAAAAGAAATGTGGAGTCTTTATGGCCAGCACCAGTTGCAGGTGGTGAGATTGGTGGTCTATATAGATGTCATTGTTCTTGGTAGAGAACATAAAGCAGAAATGAATGTTTTACCTTTCCTGCAACACTCCGTTATTTAAATCAGTCAGTGAATCCTTTTTAAATGGTTACTGATAAATCTAGTTTAAACACAGAAGGTGCATTCTCTTTCCTTGCTGACGGAATATAACATGATGCAGATTTCACACTCTTTCCTTCCTTTCCAAGTTCAATATGTTGCGGAGTCTTAAATGTATTTCAGTATTTACCAGCTTTGCGTTCCATTACTCTGTGCACACCAATACTTCCCCAGAGTTTTTACGGAATTCCACGGTTCAATAACGGTAGGCAATTTTTAAGGTTTCCTTTAAACTGTAATTTATATAAAGTAGTGTAGGTTTGTATTTGGGAGTGACAGCAAGCGGTTCTGCATTTGTTGTGCAACTACTTCTAACGATGGAGCCCTCATGTGAGTTCCTTTCTGAGGTCGGATGGATTCCAATTCCAGACTCTCCAAGACATGTAGATAATCAAGAGTCTGGGAATTCATGTAGAACAATACTGAGGGCATCAAGCCTTTACAGAAGGTTTCAGGCTGTTTCTGAACCTGAAATCCCAATAACGGGATTTAAACATTTGTGATTTGGGTTCTCTCTTTAGGAGACCTTGAGTAGAGGATTTCAGCCACAGCCCTTAAGGAATAAGCAAAACCGACCTTTTTGGTTCCTTTTCTTTTTGGGTAAACTTTCCTTAAGTTTTGACTCTATCCAGGTTTTTTGTTCAAATGTGTTCTTTGTGTTACTTTAAAGCACCAAAACCAATGTAAACCAGTTAAAGCTCCACAGCAAAAGGCACATTTTTTTTTATATAAGGCTTTCTAAGCAGTTTTCACTACTGCATCTTTTTAGCTTGCTGGTTACTCCCTTTTGTAGTTTTACCTACAAGATTTTAAGATAAATCAGCTAAGTCTGAGTTAAATATTAACCACAGTTATAGCTTTACCTTTGTGTGCAATTGAAATATGTTTGAAACCACAATTGGCATAGTTTTGCCTTAGCTAACATTCAGGGCTTTAGAAGTAATTCTTTGCTAGTCCACCTTTAGCGAATTGATGAAGTCTATTGCCCTAGAAAGCTATAGTCAACCAGAGGACCATTTTTGTATTGTTACCTGACTATATAAGTCTGATTTACTGTATGTGCTAATATATTATATTATATTCCTTTTGTTATAGATTGTCCTAATGGCAGGTAAAGCAATAAAATGATTTAAATTCTTAAATGCAATCAGTCTCTTCTTTTTTTCCCCCCTTCATTTTGTTTTCCTAACATTGTGTTTTCCTTTAGCCTTAGAAGAATTACTATGAATGAAGTGGTAAAAGCAAAGAAGCTTCAATGGATTCGCTTTGTGTTAACTCTGAAGGCTTGAGTTCAAGTCTTAGCTTACAGCGCAATGGACCCTTCCAGAGAGCTGGGTCTCTGTGAGCCAACATGTGCCTGTGACCTGGGAACTTCTCCATAGTTCTGGCACATGATGGCTTTTGAAGTGAGAAGGTTCCTGTGTCTTGGTTAAGTGTTTCTTTACGCCTCCTACTGCCTTGATCTCATGTTAAGGTGGTTAATTCCCAGCCCAGGCAGTAGTACTGGAGCTCATAAGCTTCTCTAAGTGGTTTGCTCCCATCTATGCATAAATCTTAGTGAAGTTTTGAGCATGTGATAATCACTCATGAATGAGTTCTGGTGGACAGACGGGGAAATAGAAGAGGGGGATCTTCATACTATGATGAAGTAGGAAAAACCTCGAAGTGATGACCTGAAGCGGCTCAGGCTGGGCACATTTTACATCCTTCTCTGAGAAAGCTGTTGCCATCCGAAGATACATTAAAAACCTACCATGTAAAGGACAATAAAAGTGAGAAGCAAAAGGCAACCTTGCCCCCCCCTCCCCTCCCATCAGTGCCCTGGCCATTTGCACATCCCCGGCTCTGTTTCCTTCATCCAGCTCTCCCTTTCCCTCACCGCTTGACCAAGATAACAGGCTGAAAACAGAACTCTCCCTACCTAAAGTAAAACTTAAACTTCCAACATTAGAGCTTGACTTTTACACTTATCTTCTGTTGCCATGTGCTTCCTGTTCATGCCAAGTCACCCAAGTCATTTCCGACTTGCCGTGTGGTTAAGTGCACCGAAAGTCACCAGTAGAGGGGGATACGGCTTTGGGAATGCAGTGTCCTTCATGGAAGCAACCCTCGCACTGTTGATGCTGAGTGAGTTAAATCCTTTCATTCTCACCTATTCTCTGTCTGCAAGAATGAAAAGGTCTGAATACCCCCCGGTGCTGAGAATTCTGTTTGATTGATTGAGACTGCCTAAAACCTTGCTTTGGGAAAGCTGGAGGTGGAAGGATATGGCAGAATGACAGGTCAGCAGAGACTGAAGGAGCGTGGTGTGGGGTTTAGGGTTGGTTGGGAGAATACTGGAGGAATCTCTTTGCTAAGCAGAAATACTCCGAGCTTCCTCAAACACAGGAATGAATAGAGCAGGGCCCTGTAGGAACATACTTAATTACAACTGCAGGCTCTCCTGTAGCTTTACAGTGTGGAGACAGGTGTATTGTAGAGCTACTGTAGAGCTGAATTGTCAATACAGCCCCCTGTGAAGACAATAGCTGTGGCCAAAGGGGCTTTGTTCCCTCCTTGTGTGATTCAGGCACTTACTGCCAGGGTGACCAAGTTCCCTCTAGGTTGGGCAGAATTCCAGCCTATAGGAATGCTGCAGGTGCTTGCTGAGAACCCATTAGCGACTGCTGCCCCATCACTTGTACTGTGGTTGTAGGGTGTTCCTGTGAAAGCTCTGCAGTGCTGTAATGGGTTTTGTTTGACTCACAGGTGAGTTTAGAACGAGCTGCTGGCAGCTGGTTGTGGTGTGGCTTTTGTTTGGGTTTTTTTCTCCTTAAGGATGATAAATTGTCAACAGAGATTTCAGCTGCTTTCCTAAGGCTGCCAAAAGGCTCAGTGCAGTCCTCCTTGGGCAGTTAAAGGGAAAAGCTGTTAGAAAGCCTCTATTAAGTTATTCTTAAGCCTTGTCATTGGGAGGCAAGGGGAAAACTGCAAATTGAGAGATCTGACCACTCCCTCCCTATGCTTTTTTTGTCTCCAGTTTCTATTGCATCTCCTCAAAACACAGAGAGATGGGGGCAGGACAACATTGCTGTTTTCCAGGGAATTCTGACAGCTTAAGTGATTCTAAAGCTGTGAGAAGATGACCTGAGGTAAATACCCCCTTGTCTGGCACAGTGTTTTCAGCAGAAGTGGGTGCCTTCTTGAACTGTGATTACAGATGTATGTCTCTGAGCAGTCTGGGGTTTGCCTTTGGTTGGTTGGTGATTTCTCTTGGGGTCAAAGGCAGCACATTCCTGCTGTTCTCCCGTAACTCAAACTGGCTCTTCCACCCATGAGGCAGGTAAAAGTAGAGGTGGTTTTACTGCCCTGTGAGGTGGTGGGCTTTTGAGTGACATGCACAGATTGAGGTGAAGTGGGTTGATCACTCTTAAGGAGAACAAGAGGCAATGGAGAGGCCTGATGGTAAAAACTGTGCAGATGTTCTTCAGTCCGAGCATGCTGGATCGATACCTTACCTTGTCTCACAGGCACTGCCTGTGTGAAGTAAGATTGCTCTTAAATACAGTCTTGATTATGCAACAGACTTAATAAGAGGAGAATGTTCTTGGCATCTTTATTCAAGCCTCATCCTTGGTTCTCATTTGTGTCCTTCACCAGCAACCAAGCAGATTGGGCAAACCAACGGCCGTGTGTTCCCCACCCTCCCAAGGGCACAAGCAGCTCCAGAACAGATCATCCCTGCTTTCCCACCATAGAGCTGGTGCACAGGGCATGAAGATCTGCTGCAGTCAGACCACAACTTACCAACACACAGGCCAAGCACAGCAGCTTTGGTCAAGCACCCAGCGCAGGAGCCCAGTGTGATTCCTGATCATCTTCTGAAGGGTTTCTCCCCTCTCAGTCTCCACAAGGGTTTGTAGATTGAAACCACCAGCTCTTAAAGCTTCCCACTTGCCTTGCAGGGGTTTTCCTTGCCTCTGAGCACGAGTTCCAGGCTGTTTAAGTGGTCAGCTTCACTCTGTCAGATGCAGGAGCCTCGGGCTGCGTGGTATCATTGGCCACCACCTTGGCTTCCCCATAGGTGTCTATGCATTTCCTCACAGCTCTCAGGATGAGCTGTAACCGTCGGTCCAAAGCCAAGAGATGGGGCTCGGTGAGGACGGGAGCCAGGCGATCCTGCAGCAGGGATTCCCGCATCACGTCGCTGAGCCGGTACTCGGGCTCGGCCAGGAGCTGCAGCCGCAGTAACGTCGTCCTCTTGATTCTGGAAGAAATGAGACATCTTAATGCAAGATCCTAATGCAGCATCCGAGCAAGAACCAGCTTCCTGTGCCCCTTGGGAGAAGGGGAAGGAGGGAGGGCAGAGGTGGGTGAAGGTACTTAACAAAGAACTTTGGAACTGGATGATCTTAATGTTCTTTCCAACCCAAACCATTCTATGATTCTATGAAAAGCTTTCCCTTTATAAAAGCAATGAAAACTTGTGCAGAAACTTCTGCTTCTTCCTGTTTTTCCAGCCTGTGGAGTGTTCGTTCTGCAGGTCCCTGTCATCGGAGGGAGGATCATGATAGAAGCTCTGGGTAAAGGGTGTTTTCACTCCGAGTCAGCGCTGACCCAGTTCCCTACATCCCTGCAGGGTGGTGCCATGTTCCCAGGGATGATATTTATGGGGTGAGGGCAGGTAAAACATGAAGGAGGAAACAAATCTCCGGTCAAAACTGAGTGAAAAGAGGGGATATTTCCTGGCACTGATTTAGCTGTGGCTTTTCACCTTCAGCACCACTGAGATTTAAACATTATTTCCCCTTGACAGAAAGTGGGATGGGAAACCATAACCTTGGAACACTTCTGGGCATGAAACAAAGCATTCTGAAACCATTTATTTAACCCTCAGCAAAAGTGTTTTGACTTCAGCATCTCCGAGACTGAAACTAATGAGTGGTTTTAATTATTGCTTTTTAAATTCTGGAAACAAAGTCATCTGTGTTTGTGGAGCTGTTCCAGTTTAGCTGAGCCAGAGTTTTCAGATGGAAGAAGGTGTAATGAGAAATGTACTAACCAGCTCCAGCATTTACCTTGTGTGCCTGTTATTTACCCAGGGCATCAATTGGGAGCAGTGCTCTGCAGCTATAACAGGATGTGCTACCAGGGAAAAGGCTTCTTGCTGCTGCCATTCCTGGCTGAGCAGTCTCTGGATTACACTTGGAAGTGATCTAGAGGTGCTTGCCCTTGGTCTTTGGTCAGTGATGCCTGTTGCTAAGGATGCAGTGAGGCTTTAAACCACAGCTGGAGCCAGAGGATGCTCTGCACAGAGCAGATGTGAACCGCAGCCTCTGTGCGCTCCCCTTCCAGGCAAAGGCTGACCGAGGAGCCACTGCGGGTAAACACCAGCTGTGTTTGCTCTGCTCCGAGCAGGAACAGGACTCAGAGGTGGAGAACGGGATGGTCTGACCCCGTGGAGAATGGCTGATTTCATGATGTAATGGTTACACAAGGAGCAGGCAGGACAGGGGGAGGAGGGGAGATGGAAACCTCTGCCACAGGGCAGCTGTAACCCTGCTGTTGTACCCCGTTGTGGGAGATCTGACCCACAGCCTTCCAGGGACTTCATCAGCCAAGAAGAAGCTGGTTTGGGTCTATCTGTGCGTTGCTGAGGGTTTTGTCCCTTGCAGGATAAGGACCATCTCTTACAGCAGGGCCATATTGGTGCCATTCGCTGTGCTCGGAGCCATGCTGGTAGAGGAGAGCAGCAGCACTCAGTGTGTGGGACCAGGGCTGGTGTGGGAGCTGTGAAAGGGGAGCTAAAGATACCAGATTGGACCTGCTGGAAGCAAGACTTGGAGAAGAGCTCAGCTTGGAATGAGACAAATGTGTTTAACTCGGAAGTGAGCGGCCTCTTGTTCAGCATCCCAGTGGCTTCAGCGGTCCCTCTTAGCTCTGCTCAGGTGTACCTGGCCTGACCAGCTCGTTTGGTCAGGGCAGGCTGAAATCTGCAGCCTCTGTGCTGACTCAAACCTTTCCACTTCCTTTCCCAGTGTTTTTGGATGTTCCCCCGCTCCAAATGGATTGGCTGTTGTGGGAAATGAGGTTATGAGCTGCTTTTCTGTTGTTCTTGGCTGTAGCTGTCTTATTACAAGGTGGGACTTGCAGGTCTTACCACTGCCTTTTAGGAGGAGAACTGAATTAAGAGCTTGTGGGAGATGGATGTGGAAGAATAGGTTCTGCCCTGTGGATACAACTGTATGCAGGCCAAATTAAGAGGCAGAGTAAATCTAAACTGCACAATATAGGAGGTGAAGAGAAGGATTCACTACAATTATAAATGAAAAGACCCACTGGGTGCAAGTAACAGTTAAAACCGGATCCAGTAATAGAAGTGTATGAGGAGAGTGCAGTTAACGTTACCCTGAGGCTGAGATGGAGCAAGGAAATGGGTTAGCATCTCCTAAAGAGAAACCAGAGGTAAAAGCAGCTTTTTCTGTCTCTTAAATCATCAGCTGAAAGTTAAATCTGTGTGAATTAACAGAAAGGGAAGGTAGGATCCAAAGAGTAAAATGTATGAGCCTCTTAATGCCATGGGAAGAAGAAACCTGGTTTACTGTAATAAGGTTCTACCAGGCTTTTGCTGAGGCTCTTGTCAGACAAATGAGGCTGACAGCATCGCCATGAGGTGCTAGTGGGCACTTGTGGGAGGGTTTGAGCCAATGGGCAGTGCCTGTTGGTCTACAAGTGAAAGCTTTTACACTTGCAAGGCATTTTAGCTTCAATGGGAGAGTATCCCGGAAGGATAATTGTGCAACATTAATACTCTGAGACAGAAGCTTGATCGCTGTTTTAGGGAGAATTAGTGATTTCCATGTGCAGGTGTTGGGCTGGATTAGCAGGGGTCTTCCCCATGCTGCTGAATGGAGCCAGGCCTGGGTGGCTTCCAGCACTAAGCACTACCAGCCCATTACAGGGAACATCAATGTGTCCGGGAAGGAGGATGGGGCTGGCACTTACATGCAACACTGGGAGAGCGGCGCCAGGATGGAGGTTTCATCATGGGAATGCCGCCCGAACCTGGGGATGGAGCAGAGAGCATGGAGCTGCAGCGCCTGCCCAGCACCTTCCCCTGCCCCATGTCCTGCCCCTGCCTCACCCTCTGGCGTTGTCCAGATGCAGGAGGAAGCCATCGTCCCCAAACTTGGTGAACATCTCGTAGTGGTGGCGGTCCATGTTCCCTGGTAAAGAGGAACAGAGATTCCCTTGCATGTGATTAACTATCCTATGTTTCCTTTCAGATCTGCATAAATAGGTGTTGCTGGAAGGAAGGGAAAGAGGAAGGAAGGAAGGAAGGGTGGGAGAGAGGGTTATTTCCCCCTTCACCCTACCTATTAGGAAGTCAAATATGGCCATGTCGACGATGTTAAGCAGCCGGTTGCCGTTGCTGTAGGGGTAGATCTCCCTCACTGTGTTGCAGTAGAGCGGATTCACTTCCCACCTGCAGCAGATGGGAGAGATGCACTCAGTGCTTGCTGCTGCTGTGTCCCAACAGCACCTCAAAGCTGGTTTCCCATGCAGGGATGGGACTTGAATCTCCCTCCTTGTGCACACAGGAGACTGGAAGTCAAACCCAGTCAATAGCCAGTGCTATTAGACTAATTATAGGGTAATGTCTCAACCTTGGCCTTTCTCTGCCTGGACATACAGTTTCTGTCTCTCTGTGTCCATACCCTGCTCATCCTCCCTCCCTCTTCAATGCAGATACGGGAAGCAGCATCATTTACCCACTTACTCCTCTTTTCCATCAAACGAGTAGGACCGGATCCATGGGTTTGGGATGGAGAGCCGTGGTGCCAGGTTGAGGGATGGCAGGAAGGCAGAGAGGGACCCTTCCAGGAGGTGAGGGTTCCCACACACAGCATACTCCGTCTTGCACATATACGGGCACTTGGCAAAGAAGCACACGTTGCTGGCTGGGAGAAGAAGAGAAGGAACAGGGAAAGGAGCTATGACCCTGCAAGGAAGCTGGACTGACCTCTTCCGCATTGAGTGATGGGGCACCCTGTGCAGAGCCTCAGCACCCTCACAGAGAAGAGCTTCTGGCCAAGAGCTCATCTCAATCTCCCTTCTCAGGTTAAAGCCATGCCCCTTGTCCTGTCCCTGCAGGCCCTTGTCAAACCATGCCTAACCCCATCTCATGGCAGCCAAGTGCTCACCTACCTGGTGAGATGAAGAAGACGCTCTGCAGGATCTCGTTCTTGGTGACCTCCAGGATCTCCTTGGTGACATTGATCAACCTCCCAACCGTGGGTGGCACCCTCCGGAAATCCAGGATCCTGCTCGAAAGGGACATCACTGCACAGCGTGTGGGATGGCAGATGCTGTCCTTGTCCTTTCCATCGGTAAACCAGAGCTCTTTTGATCACTGCACCCACATGGGTGTTGTTTTGTCCTCCCAGATTTGTTCTAACAAGTAGCCAGGATCATTTTAGCCTCTGGACCAAAATGCAGCTGAGTTTGGATTTTGGTATTTTAACAGCTGCTGCCTGGAACAATCTGGATGTTCTCCAGGATTCATGTCTTTATCCCTTAACCAGCTTCTCCCATCCCCTGCACACAAGTGGGTTCCTTCGGGAGCTAGAGCAGCCCTTCAGGCCCTTCTACAATGATGGGTTTGGCATGAAGATGTATTGACCCTGGTACAGCGGGAGGTGAGGAGGCATCGCCCCACTCAGAGCCTCTCATACCCAGCTTATTCATCTTAAATGTTCTTTAAACCCCAGGGCCTGGGGCAAAAGCTGCTGTTGATGGCTGAGTCAGTACCACGGGGTGAACTGGCTCACGCTGTGCTTTGCTCCTTGGGTAATGCCCTCTGCTTCTGGGAACTGGGCACAAAACAGGATTTAGCCTGTTCCTTATTGAGCAATGTTTAAAGGAGAAAAATAGAATCCTTTGCTTTCATCCGCCATCTTTCAGCTCTGAAAACCACAAAGCACTTGAGGAAAGCAGCCCGGCCTCATTTTTTCTACTGGTGGAGCTGGGATGCAGAGAAGGAAGCTGATGGTGGTGTAAGGGCAGAGATGGGAAGGGAACTCAGCTCTCTTCATTCCTGTACTCAGAGTGTGAGCTACGGGACTTACAGTCCTGCTTATCATATAGATTGGGTGTGGGAACTGAGACCCTCTCCACCGTCATCATTGGGGTCACTTGCCCTTGATGTTCAATACTCATTCCATTGAGGGCTGTCGCCCTCCTCTTCTAATAAGGGCATTTTGGATTATATTAGACACAAAGCGTGCTGGAAGAAGTGCCAGGTTAATCACTCATTAGCTGAGGGCTTCAAACAGCATTACTGCCGTTTATCTCGATCCAAAACACGCTTTGATTGCTGATGGAGCTTGTGCTCCATCACCGGGAGGGCATCCAGGCTGTGCCCAGAACTCACCTGTGCACTTCAACGCATGTGCAATGGGTGGCTGAATACCTGACCTGGGCTTCACCTGCCAGCCTGTTGTAGTGCAGTGACCACGGCAAAGCTGGGCTTCAGCCGCGAGCCAGAGCCACCCGCATCGGCTCCCAAAAGGGTGCTGCAAAGCAGTTGCTTGGCTGATGCTGAGCAGCTCTGCAGGGCTTGGCACGGCTCTTCTCGTGCCATAGCTCCCTATGGGCAGAGGCAGGTCCTTACCTGTCCAGGTGGAAGGCAGCGATCTCTGCATTGTGCCGCTGGAAGTCAACGAAGTAGAAGAAGTCCTCGGGGGTCTCTTCCTCACGTTTCTGCCTGGGAGAGAGCCAGGGCCTTACCCAACCAAGCACAGGGTGGGTAGGGACCAGCACAGGCAGCCTGGGCACAGCAGGGTGGCTCAAGGACAGCGCATCTGGTACCCAGACCAGCCCCTGCCCCGGGCAGGGACCCCTTCCACTAGAGCAGCTTGCTCCAAGCCCCTGTGTCCAACCTGGCCTTAAACACTGCCAGGGATGGGGCAGCCACAGCTTGTGCCCTGTCTCAGTGCTGGTGGGTGACGGAGGCAGAAGGGCTGTCTGGGGGCTTTAGAACAATTTGTGGCTGTTTAGACCCACGTAGCAGCACTGGGCAGAGGTGGATGGAAACCAGTGGGAGAGGAGCTGGCTGCTTTCTGGATGAGCAAAGCACCCCGGTGCTGTGCACAGAGAGCAAAGTGAGGGGGGATAACTGTGAAGAGTCTCAAGGGACTATAGATGAGAGCAGAAGCAATTGAAATCTCCTGTGTGAAGTGACCGGGACTGATAGCTGTTTCTTGGGAATACTCTGGGGAATCCAAGGACAAACAAGGTGAAAGCTGGGAAAGAGGGAGAAATGAGCAGTCCCTAATGGCAAAGCTCACAGGATAACAAGCATCCCAAGGCCCTTTGCTGTCTGGTATCTGCTAATAGAGTAATCTCCAGCATCAACAGGCAGTGTGTTTATCCCTATCTGTGGCTGGGATGCTGGGAACAGCCAGTAATAGTTAAACCCTTTCAGCTGTCAAGGTAGGAAGTGCAGGGGAGGGAAGATGCAGTGGGGCTGGCCTTGCTGAGGATGCTACACAGGGCAGAGGGCTCAGTGGGGCACTGTTGTGTGCCTTACCTCATGGGCTTGAACATGGCCTTCCCAAAATCCTGGAACCTGAGCACTAGCTTCAGGTGCACGCCGCTGGGCTTCACGACTTGGGGAGGAAACGGGGTGTTAGTGCCTGGAAAGCCTCCACGGTGAAGCACCGGTTGCACACTGGCGCGATCAGCATCCCACCCCGGTGAGAGCATCCCATTGCTCCTTCCACATCCTCCCCTCTGCTCCTCCTGGTGTTTTTGCTCTCTTCTTCTCCTCCCCTGTGCCACAGAGGAGGTTTCCCTCCAGCACTTTTCCCAACACCCATTTGTTAAGTTCTCCTGGGGACGTTTTCCTTCCCCCAATAGAGCCAGTGCCACAGTGGTGTCCTGGCACCCACATCCCATCCTCACTGGGGTAGTGGGGTTTAACTGGAGGGAGAAGGGTCTGGAATTGCTCGGCTTTACATTTCCCTTGCTAATTTAGGGTGGAGGATATGGACTGGGATCAGCTGCAGTGATGGCATGCGAGGGGAGGGCAGGACCTGAAGGATCACACTCACTCTGGCTGCAGTCGCAGGCTCCCAGCAGTGCTTTCTCATCCTGGCTGTAGTCTGCAAGGGCAGGAGGAGAGGTGAGACACACAGCGAGGGGTGCAGTCCCCTTTGGGGGGGCTGAGGCAGCCTGTGGGGACTGAGCAGCCAGGCAACGGGTCCCTGGCATGGCTGGCACCAAAAGATGCTGTGTGAAGCTCCACAGCATCATGTGCTTTCATGTTGCAAGGTAAGGATGCAAAACTGCACAGCACAAAACCTGCAGGGATGCTGGCACAGGGTTGAGGGCTTGATGCAGAAATGACCTGTGGGGCCCCATCCCCACAGTTCCCAGTGGCCCCATAGAACCCCAGCCTGGTTTGTGTTGGAAGGGACCTTAAAGCTCATCCAGTTCCAACCCCTGCCACAGGCAGGAGCACCTTCCACTACAGCAGCTTGCTCCAAGCCCTATCCAGCCTGGCCTTGAACACTTCCCATCCAGTCCCCATGGCATTTACCAGCACTGATAGTGGTGAACTCTTGCATGTCCCGGAGCAGCCTGGTGACGGCGGGGCTGGAGCGCGGGTAGAGCCCATCCCGGCTGATTCCCAGGTGGAACTGGAGCCAGCTGGCCTCTGGCCGCAGCGGCAGCGGGGCTGATGGAGAGGTTAGGTTGAGTTCCTCCCTGTAGAGCTTGTGTCTCCTGTAAGAGAGTGGTTATAGGGTGAGGATGAGGATGGAGCCCCTCACTGCTGTGAGTCCAGAGGCTGCTGAGGGGGCACAAGGGCTCTGGGTGCTACCCGACAGGAAACTGAGGCAGGGAGTGACTGACTGAGATTGTGCTGCCTTCTTGCCTCTGCAAAGCCCTGGGAGAGCAGCATCAAGCAGGAACACAAGAGGCTCTATTGTCCTCTCCTTTCCCCATCAGAACTGACAGGAAAACAATCACTAACTGCCTCTGTGAGCAGATTGACAGCACTCGGTCCAGTGAGCAGGGATGCGATGAGGCCATCCAGCAGCGTCCTGCCCATCATCTCTTAAAATGAAGGTTGAACCCTGCCCTTTCTCAGCAGGTAGAGCCAAAGGGGCCTCCCAGGTTCAATAATAACCCCAAAGTGTCTCCCCACTTGGCCAGCATTGAGACCCCCATGGCAGGGACCCACACTTTGCTAAGCTGCAGTTGAAAGGTCACTTGTTCCAGCCGGCAGAGGACAGAGCTTTAGCTTCTCATTAACAGCGGCCGAGCCACGTACAGAGCAGCTGGTCCTGATAACGGGCAAACACAGTTCGGTTTGTACTGAGAGTGCCAAGATAGATCCATGAGAGAAAACAGGAGCTGGATAACGAGTGGGGCATTAACCAAGGCTGGGATGGAGCGACCGAGAGAGGGAGGTGCCATGAGCCTCGCTAGACCCAGTCTGGACCCTTAGCAGAGCACAAAGATTGAAGAGAGACTTTTCTATGCCTGCCTTTTCCCCTATTTTTTCCATTTTTTTATTCCTATTGTTCATATTTTTTCCTATTTTTCCTATATTTTCCTAATTGTTTCCAAATTTTTTATGCAAAAGGGAGATGAGGGAAGCTTTTCAAGCATGGTGTGACATGGGAGCAGTGCTGGCAGGGTGTCCTCTGGGATGGCTGCCTAACTTGGAGCAGTGGCTGCAGCAAGTGGGTGCTGACCATGCACTATGGAATGCCTGGCCAAGGAGCTGATAGCTGTAAAGGGCTCATGGATGTTGCTGTGGCTTCCCTCCTCAGACCAGCAGAAAAACAATGGGTTTTGGATGGTTTTACTTTTCCATCATCCTTTCCCATCCAAGCAAGTTAAACAGTGTGGTTAGTCCGGCCTAACCATGAGCAATGGATGAACACACCTGGGAGTGATGGACACGTTTCAGCAGCACCCTGGGAGAAAGCTTGGAAGTGGAGAGATGTGGCAGAGCTATAGGTCAGGGCAGCACATTCCCTCTCCCTCCGTGTTTGCCTTTCAGGTGGACCAGGTCAGCCGCAATGCAAAGTCCATGTGTGTGCGGTCAGAGGAAGGGTCGTTGGAGCACATCTCTCTGTCCTGCCTCTCTTGGGCTATCTGCAAAGGAGGCAGAAGCTCCCGAAGGTGGGAACAGGGCATGGGACATGCTGAGACTTGCTGTTGGTCTGGCTGGCAGGCTGTGCACAAGGATGCTATCAGCTCTGGTGGATGTGCCTTGACCTTCCAGCCTGCTCCAGGTCTCTCCTTACCCCCCCACCATGGCCAGGGACACCAAAGCCACAATGTCATTTATACGAATGACTCAGGATTTTCCCTAGGGAAGCTGCCCAAATATTTTACCATATTTGCTCTCCTGCCTCCCATCCACACAGGCTGTGCCCCCCCGGGCAGGCAGTGAGCAACACATTAGTGAAGGGGGAAAACATGCAGTGATTGTGCAAGGGGAGGCAGCTCCCAGCCCCTGCAGGGCCAGCAAGCCCCTTCCCAGCCTTTAAACCCAAAATACAGCTCCCTCTGCCTCCCGCTTTCCTAAAGGATTCCTGGAATATTTCCCTGTAGGAACAGATCTCTGCACAAGACACGATATAAAACCCGGATTCATTTCTACCCTGCTATAAATAGCCCCGGGGTTGCCCTAGCTCTGCTCAGTCAGCTCGATGTGGGGCACGGCATGGGGTGATGCTGGTCACTGGTGTCCACTCGCCTCCAGTACCAAGCCAGTTACAGGGTTTGGGGTTTTGAGGCGGCTCCTTCAAGGATAAAAATAAGCTCTGGAGTTTCTAAGGGTGTTTTTTTTTTTTTGTTCTGAAGAGGTGTGGATGGTTTTTCTGCTGTTTCCTTCCTGCATCCCCATCGGGCTCTCCAGCTGGTTCTGCATCCTGCAGTGATTCCTGGTTCTAATTGAAGTGCTTGGGAAAAGCACGGTGATGGGCAGCAGCCAGGACATGGAGAGCACTGTGGAGGCAGGACAAGTGCTGCCATGCTGCCCTGGCTGTGGGTATCCATAGGCCATACCCTGGGTCCATTCAGTGGGTTGGCAGAGAGTCCCCATCCAGCTGATGTCTGTCCATGGAAATGAAGACAGGCACACTGTGCTGTAGGTATAGGGTTAAACCATAGCTTGTTCCACTCCAGAGGAGCATCCCACCACTCTGAAAGCTGCTTTGCCACCAGCCAGACCTATAAGTAAGTGATGCAGAAACGTGCCATCACCCAGCCAAGGTGAGGAGAGGACGGACCGGACACCAGCTCTGCACCTCTTCCATTGGGCCGTGGATGTAGCCACACCTTGGTGAGACTCAGTGTGGACTTTGTTTCCGCAGCACTACCTTCAGTCCTCAACAACAGCAGCAAACCTATGGATTGGGAAAAAGGCACGTATTCCAAGTCCCACGGAGAATGCTGCCCTTCGCTCTTGGCAATTATAGGGATGGCTCAGTCACATCGGAAAGGATGTGGGCTCTGCGGTGCTTCTGGTGGGGCAGAAATTCCTCCATGCCCACAGCAAGTTAATGGTCTTAGGACACCCATCAGCCCTGGCAAATGCTGCCTCATTATAGCTTCGATTTGCAGTGCCCATGGCAGAATAGGTTGGGTGTCACCTCGGCCTGTGCGTGTTCTCCAAAGGCTTTACCCACTTATGAGCATCACAGGTTTAATTTTAGAGTGGCTGAGGGGTAATCAATGCTTCTGTCTCCCTTCTCCTCCCTAGAGGTGCAAAGTGAAGCCAATCAAGGGCAAACGGCATCACCGCTTTCCTCCTGACCACATCATAACCAAACCTCAGAGCAAAAGGCAGCGTGCAGCCATAGCTTTGTCATAAGCAGAAGGTTTAGACAGCACAGTTGGGGAATGCAGCCTTCTCACCAGCCAGGCTGCTCCCCAGGCAAGGCTGGTGTGCAGGTAATGTCAGTGCTGCTGCAAGTGCTCAGCACTGGGTGCTCAGGGCTTCTGGAAGTGCTCAGGAAGCCATCAAGCACATGCCATGAGCTCCTTCAGTTCAAATCCCCCTTTCCCACTGGGCTTTTGCTTGGGAAACATCCCTCTTGCCACCTGAATCCTGATGTCTTTGGGAGGCACAGCTCCACTCTGAGAATCATCATCATAGAATCCCAGACTGGTTTGGGTTAGAAGGGACCTTAAAGCTCATCCAGCTCCAACTGCCTGCCACGGGCAGGGACACCTTCCACTAGAGCAGGTTGCTCCAAGCCCCTGTGTCCAACCTGTCCTGCGAGATGCTCCAGCACTGCACAGCCTTGGCCAGCCCAGGGGGTGCTTAAGGATGGGTGTCTGGGAGAGCTGCCCAGAAAGGGGGTGCCTGGGGGCTATCTGTGCAGGGGGTACCCGAAAGGGATGCAAGGAGAGAGGGTGCCCCAGAGATGCCCATACAGGGGGTACCTGTGCAGGGGGTGCCCAGGCAGTACTCATGAGGGAGTGCTCAAGAGATGCCCGTGCAGGGGGTGTCTGGAAAGCGATGCCTGGGAGCTGCCTGCACAGAGGGTGCCCATGCAAGGGGTGCCCAGGAGATGCCCATACACGGGATGACCGAGAAGGAGGTGCCCAGGAGATGCTCATTCCAGGGGGTGACCGGGAAGGGGGTACCCAGGAGATGCCCACAGAGGGGGTGCCCGCGCAGGGTCGCGGCTCGGCCGCGTCGGGACGCACCTGTTCCAGCGAGCCGCCTTCCGCCGGTAGTAGCGCAGGGCTTCGCGGGCGCCCAGCAGCGGCTCCGCGGGGCCCGGCGGGGCGGCGGCGCGGTACAGCGGGTGTGCGAAGAGGCGGCGCAGCGCGGAGGCGGCGCGGGCGCGGGGCGGCGGCTGCGGGGCGGCGGCGGGGGGCTCTGGGTGGCGGCGGCGGCACGGGCAGCCCGGGGCTCCCGCACTCAGCTCCCGCCGCGCCCGCGGCCAGAGGTGGAAGTAGAGATCGGCCGCCAGCAGCGCCCCGAGCAGCAGCAGCACCGCCGGGCGATCCCGGCGCGGCCCCGGCATGGCCGGTGCGGGGAGCCGCGGGCACGGACAGCGCCGGGTGCGGGAGCTGCCGCCGCCGCCTCCCGGGGCAGGGCGCACGGGGGAGCTCGAGCGGCGGAGCCGGGGGGTGCGGGCACCTCGGGGCGGGGACCGGGCAGGGCGCTCGGGGCCCGGGGCGGGGGATCGGGGACTGGGGACGGCGTGGAGGGAGCGGGTCCGGGATCCGGGCCCGGGTCCGGGTCTGGCTCCGGGAGAGGTTGCGCGGGGACCGACCGAGCAGCCCCGGACTCTGCCGCCCGCCCCTCCGCAGCATCCGGAGCACCCGGAGCCGCCCCGGTCTCCCCCCGCCTGCCCTCGGTCCTTCGGGGTTTCTCCCGAAGATGGAGAGTGCCCCCCCTTCCTCCCCCCCCGATAAAGCCTGTAGCCCGGGCTTTGAGGCCGGTGCTGCGGGGGTCTGGGGGCTGTGTTAGGGTCAGTGTATGGGGATGGGGTGAGTGAGCACCTCCGGGTGCCTGGGCAGGGCTTGCGGCCGTTCCGCGCTGCTTCCTGGCGCACGGATCAGCCTTGGCTTTTATTTTCTTAATTCCTAAACAAACGAGTTGAGGAAACTCCTCCCTGCAGTTTGCTGGGAGAGGCTCGGCCGCGGGGATGTGCTGGGGCTGGGACCCATCCAGCTCAGCGTGGAGAGCACAGCGAGCGGCAGGTTGAGGAGCACCGTGCCAAGGGAGGGACATGGAAGAGAAACTGGCTGTAAACAAAGGGAACGTGACGAGACTGGGCCGGTGCTGGCACTCTGCTGAGGGGAGGACAGAAAACAAACTGCAGAAGGAGGGGAAAGTCAATGGTGTTTGCATATGGCTGGAGCAGAGCTCAGTTTTGCTGCAAGGGGAGGCTCTGGGAAGTGCTGGGTTGGGGGGTTTGGGGTATACAAACAGGCATCAGAGGAGCTGTTGGCCAAGCATCCACCCCAGAGCCTGTGGTGCTCCTATTGCCGGGGAGGGAAAGTGGTCCCCTGGGCTGGCCTGGGTGGTAGCATCAGTCCCCTCTGTCTCTTGCTCTTTGAAAGACAGGGTCTAGTTAATGCTCTCATTTAGAAATGCAGTTTCAAAATTGCTCTGTCTTTTGATATTTAAAGAGTTTGGGTTCAGGTTTGGGGGGGGGGGGGTGGGGGTTGCTCTGACCTTTCTTCCTGTAATACCAACTTTTGTGTATTTTCCATGGTATGTCAGAAAAATCATAAGGAGAAACTGCAGCTTCTGCAGGTGAGTGAGGGCTGGTGGGAGCAAATGATGCTCTGCTTCTCGAAAGCATCAAGTGATGCTTTGAGCAACCTGGTCTAGTGGAAGGTGTCACTGTCCATGGCAAGGGGATTGGAATGCGATGAGCTTTAAGGTCCCTTCCAACACAGACTATGATTCTGCTCAGGGGCACTGGCTGTGCCCATGTTTCTGTGCTCTTTGGGAACAGAACTGATATAATGATTACATTTGGATTCCTTTATGTACTGAACCACACATGAAGTAGCAAGAAGGAAAATTTGGGGGTCCTGCCTGTATTGGCAAGGCCCTGGGGGGCACTGAGCAGGCAGGGGCTCTGCTCAGAGGCTGGGGTCTGCAGGATGGGAAGGGTTCCCACCAGCCTAAGAGCTGGTCCTCCTGATACTGAAGGAGAAAAGAAGCTTTTAGGACATAAAACTGGATGGAACAAGGGGAATAATGTTTGGCAGCAATCTGGCCACATTGCTTAGGAGAGAGCAAAGAGGTGTTGTGCTGCAGCAGCACTCTCTGCATGGGGAACCTGGGGTCTTCAGCCCTTCCATAGGCCAGAGGTCTCTTCCCCAAAGCAGCACCACCATGAGCCCAACACTAAGTAATGGCCTGGGGCTAATGATAGGATTCTTCCTTTATTTTAATTCAGTAAAAGATGGGATGGCCCATCTGAAAATAAACTCTGTAATTCACCAAACCCAAATGAATCACCAGGAAGAAATGCAGCTCCGCATCTGTCATCCCTCTGATGGACACTCACTGCCTCTCCTTAGACTTGAAGAACATCATTGGGCAAACGCTCCATCAAAAACTGGCTCATACTCATTTCCCTCCTAATCCTCCCAGCCCTGTTTCCCTGTTGCTAATCTCACCCAGAAGCCATTAAATCTTTCCTGGTTTGCAGGGCTAATTCTGAGCGAATGCATCAGGAGCCAAGCAGCAGCTGGGCAGGAGTCTCTGTGTTATTTGTGTGCTCCACAGGAGGATTGTTCTGCTTTTAATGAGACTAATTAAAAAGAAACAGAAATATAAGTCAATCCCATTAATCTGTAACAGATTGAAGCGCTCTGGTCCTTCCCAAAGCATTAGGGACTGCCAGCTGGAATGCAAAGCCATTCTGCTCACTGTTATGTAGAGCATCTCAGTGATGCTCCCATAGTGCCAGCACTATGGCTTTGCCCAGTGCCACTTCCATGCTCAGTCATAGCTTGGAATCCCATGGGAGCAGGGCGGGAATCCCCCATCTCCATCCCACACTCATCCCTCAGCATGTTGTCGTGTTCCAGTTCCTTGGTTCATTGCTCTTGCAGCCAGGCTGTGCACTGGTCCATGGGCTGGAAGGTGAAGACCAATCCCCCCTCCATGAGTCTCAAGAGGAGCAGGATGGGGGAATGCATTCCTAAAATTAACCTGCACAATCTGCCTCGACAGGACACCACCAGCTAAAGCGGAATCAAGTTCTCATTTGGAATTACCATGGGATAATTGTCCTCATTTACTATTTAAAGATGGAAAAAAAAAAAAGCTCCTTCTTCCAGACAACTGCAGCAGAGAAATGTTCAGGAGTAGATGATGTCCCCAAACATATCATTAAAGCTTTAAATAAATGCATGATGACATCTCCTGCTAAGGAAGACTTCCTCTGTGTTTCAGATAGGAACCAGGCAGGTCATTGTCAAAGTCACCTTTTAATAACCAAAAGAGATTCCTTTTGTTTTTCCGGACATGTTACTTTAAATATTTGGGGATGTAATTTGGATCCTTTCACACGTTATTGATTTAAATATCATCTTCCTTAGAGACGTCTCATACTTGCCAAAAGGTAAATGCCTCTGTCTGCTGCTTCTTGTCTTCTTTACTCGGCTTGAAATGCTACAGAACTGAATCAGTCCCACCTTGCAGATTGTGTTTGTAAGAGGGAGAAGAGATGAGAGCTATCCCTTTCTCACTCTCCCATTAATTACAGGGATTAAATGCCAAAGCAGCTACGCAGCGTTATAAAGAATATAAAGATATGAATTGGAGGAGCCAAGCTGTGTCTGAGCACATTGTGGGGTGGGCATGCTCAGCTCCAGCTCCAACTTCTTCCTCTTTACACACCGGAGCCAGCAGCAGCCGTTGCTTTAAGGAGACAGGGATGTGATGGGGACAGGGAGATCATGGTGCATTGGAGAGAGGGGTTTGTTCCACTCATGGAGATGCTCAATAAAGATGATTCCGCTTTGTATTCCTGGTAAGGAGGGAGAAAACCACAAGGAGCTAGGGATGCGTTAGCACAGAGATGTAAATAGAGGCAAAGCTGCAGCTTGGACCCTCCCAGGGGAAAACCAGGATGATTCCAGCTCTTCTGGAATTCATGTTCGGGTTCATGTCCGAAGTCTTTGCTGTTTCCTTGACCCTGTGATGCAGAGGGTTTTGGCTGCTTCCACAGCCGGGGCTCAATGGGCTGTCCCTGTGTGCTTGGCTGCTCCCTCCCATCCTCCATGAGTCTTCGAATGCCAATCCCGGCTGGAGCCCCTCTGGAGCTGGCCACCTCCACTGCCCTCCTCTCGCACTCCCTGCTACCCATAATGTGATATGGAAGATGCAGCTGCTTGCTTGGGCTCCTGCATTACAGCAGATGCTCAATGGTTGTATCTGACCCAGGCTTTTGGCAAGGGATAGCCCCAGATAGAGCACAGGTGTGCTGGACACTTCATACAGGGCTCAGGGAGGTGCCCAAGACCCTCGTGGGGTTTCATCCCCCCTTTCCACTTTGCTGCCAGGGCCAAGTGCCCTCTCCCTGCCTGGCTGCTGGATCTGAAGCCCCTGGCTGGCAGCATCCAATGGGAATTCTCCTGCCTGTGGAGCAGCAGATCTCCCCTTTGCCAGCTGCAAAGCATCCAGCAGTGCAGGCAGGGATGCAGGCAGGGATGTGAGCAGGGTGATGGGCGGGGGTGACAGTGGATGTGAGATGGGCAGGGGTGCAGGCAGGGGTGCTGGGCAGCACATGGGCTGGGGGGCGGAGCCACCGTCAGGGGGTGGAGCCTCACATAGTTGGCGTGGTCAGGATGGGCCAATCAGAGGGCAGTGCTGCCTATAAAAGCTGTGCCTGGGAGCAGTGGGTCATGGTAGTGGTAGGTGTTTGTGGTGTGTGTCCCAGCATGGATGCAGCCTCCTGCCCTTGAAATGATGGGTTTGTTTCCCAGGGAAGGTGGTACCTCATGTGTGGAGTTTGGTGGGGTCCTTTCTGCCTGAACCCCCCCAGCTCTGGGGGGTTTGAATTCACTCTGGTTGTGTAAAATCGCTCCCTGCTGTGATGGTTCAGTGAGAGAAGCATTTGTTGTTGCTCTGGGCTGTTGCTCTTCCTCAGCTTGTAATTAAAAGGGAGATATTTGGGTTAAATGCTTAGATTAAGAACACATTTTTGTTAGCTAGCAACACAGAGAAAAGCCCCGGAGAACCTGATAGAGCAATCAGTGCCTCTCCACTTGCATTGGAGATGTTTCTTTGAGAGAGGAAGCCTGTTCACTCCAGAGCATGTTTTTGCTACAAAAATGAATTATAGGGTATAAAAGGAAGCCTTTAGAAGCATACAAAGTGGAAATGAGTTCTGAAGCTGCAGGGCAGGTAAGGCAGAAGGTGAGATGTGCCCCATCCAACCCACAGGCAGCTCCCATCAGCTCATGGTTTTGGATTCCTCCTCCCATCTACCTCACCTGGCTGCTTTTCAAGGCTCATCCTCTTGGCCTCCGCAGGCTCCCAGCTGCTCTGGGCTCAGGAGGCTGGGTGGTTCCTATCCTACTTGGCAATCAGCTTTTGCACTGCTAAGCACAAACAAGATGAAACCACCTTCAGGGTCCAAGAGAGTGGCTGGTGTGTGCTGGAGCTGTCTCCTAACCCTAACCCTTACCCTTGCCTGGTGCATGAGGTCTGAGAAGGCTCCATCTGTACTCTCATCTGAAGCCCGGCTGATGGACATCAACCCTTGGAGCCCAAACCAGGTCTGTAACAAGAAAGGTGATGGTGGCCTGCACACAGCCCAGTGCATGGGCAGAGTTGCTTGTTCTTACTGCTGCCTGCACATCCCCTGCAGCGCGGTGGCATGGGACTGTTTGTCTTGGATGTGCTGGGATGGACTAGAAAACAGCACTGACCTCTTGAGCAACGTTGAGGGGGGGGGAGTGGGGGTTTGGCCGTGTGGCCATTGGCTCCGCTTTCACTGAGTTTATGGGATCTGATTTCCAAGATAGTAAAAGCAAAGCAATCCTCTCCTCGCTGCCTGGTGCTGCCTTTGCCAAGGAGGAAGGGGACGGCGCGTCTGTGTCATTAGAGGTTAAATAACAGCAAATCACGTTCGGTGTATGCAGGCGCTGCTGGGCTGCGTGCGCGCATTCCTTAATCAGGGCTTGGTTTGTTGGATTACTTTTATTGGCAGTTAACTGTGTAATGGTCTCGGTGGAACATCTGGTCCATGATTTGAAAGG